AAAGGTGGAACATCTCAATGAGTGGGGTAGGGTGGGGAGCTATAGGTCACAGGTGGATTCAAAGGTGTCCTGATTGGCAATTGGCTGAAAGAGTTAAGCCCTTCTGAAGAGTTGAAGTCAGCTTGAATTAAGGTAAGGTAGGCGGAGGTGGGTGGGGGCAGTTGTGGAAGGCAAGCCTCCAGGTAGCAGGCTTCAGAGAATAAATATTAAGAATAGAATGTCTCGGCTGGGCGCGGTGGCTCACGCCTGTAATCCCAGCACTTTGGGAGGCTGAGGCAAGTGGATCACTAGGTCAAGAGATCAAGACCAACCTGGTCAACATGGTGAAACCCCGTCTCTACTAAAAATACAAAAATTAGCTGGGCATGGTGGTGCACGCCTGTAATCCCAGCTACTCGGGAGGCTGAGGCAGGAGAATTGCTTGAACCTAGGAGGTGGAGGTTGCGGTGAGCCGAGATCACGCCGTTGCACTCCAGCCTGGGTAATAAGAGCGAAACTCTGTCTCAAAAAAAAAAAAAAAGAATAGAATGTCTCTTACCAGACTTTAGAAAGGTGTCAGACTAGTAAGGGAAGGAAATTCTCTACAGAATGCAATTTCCCCCTCAAGAGCCAGCTTTGCAGAGCCATTTAAGAATATGTCAAGGAAATATACGTAGGGATAAAATAATTTCCTTCAGGGCTTGTTATCTGCCATGTGGTGCTACGCCAGAGTCAGGCTGCAGTTCGGTACCTTATTGCTAAAGAGAAGCGATCTGTCCATCTTGAGAGCTGTTGTAATGTGAGTGCTGGTCCCTGGTCAGCTGTGTCTACCCCAAAGGAAGAGGCGTAATGTGCGTGTCTGACCCATCCCTTCCCGTAGTGACCCCACCTAGTTTTTGAGGCTTCTTTGGGGGTCCCTTTGCCCATGAGAGGGATCCGTTCAGTCTGTTTGGGAGCTTAGAATTTCATTGTAGGTTTACAATCCTGACCCCAAAATGTGTAAGAATCCCTTTTCTTGCATTGAAATAAGGGTTTCCCAGGCCGTACGATAGAAAATGATCAGCTGTAAATTCCTTATATCTTTGGTGTTAGGATCTCTTTATCCTCCCAAGACTCTCTCTCTTCCCTCATTTTATTTATTTATTTATTTTTTTGATGTGGCGTCTCGCCCTGTCACTAGGCTGGAGTGCAGTGGCACGATCTGGGCTCACTGCAACCTCCGCCTCCCGGGTTCAAGTGATTCTCCTCCCGAGTAGCTAGGATCACAGGCACACGCCACTACGCCCAGCTAATTTTTGTATTTTTAGTAGAGATGGGGTTTCACCCTACTGGCCACGATGATATTGATCTCCTGACCTCCTGATCCGCCTACCTCAGCCTCCCAAAGTGCTGGGATTACAGGTGTGAGCCGCTGCGCCCCGCCTTTTTTTTAATTTTTAAAAAACGTTTTTAATTACTTTTTACATAGACAGGGTCTCGTCATGTTGCCCAGGCTGGTTTCCCAAAGTGCTGGGATTGTAGGCGGGAGACACCAGCCCACCTCTCTCCCGTCTTCTTAAACAGCATTTTCCTCCTTCCTCCTGGGACCTCCTGAGCGCGGGCCTCTTCCTCAGACTGGCCTGCCACTCACCTGCCTCCACCGTGCCGGGCCCTCAGGCAGCGTCACCCTGGCATCTGCTCTGCTCTTGGTGAGACAGGGCAAGTGAGAAGTGGGCGGGCTTTCGTGTCGATCAGCTTTGGTGATGAGACAGCCACCTCCTCCAGCGTGCACAGCCTCAGCACCCTCCACCTCTCCGTTAGGCATCTTGGTGGCTCTCAGGCCTGTCCGAAAACTCTTCACTTCCCCAGGTGGCTGAAGAACCCTTTCCCTTGAGAAGACTGCTGCTCTTGGCAACAGATGGATCCAGGATGGCTGCAGCCAGCTCCAGCCACGTTCTCTCCTGGAAGTAAAGACGTCACCTCTGTAGCCTCGTCCATCACAGCAGATGGTACCGCAACTCCCCCGGGCCCCTCATGTCCTTTCCCTCGTCTTCCAGCTGCCACCTGCCACCTGCCCCACACCATTTATACCTAAAAGGAAGGCAGGGTTTAGAGAAGGAGGCGGGAGATGCCGCAGGGGGAGAGTCTGACAGCTGTGTATTGCTGACCCTGGGGCCGGCAGCCCTGCACCGAGGCCGCACCCCTGCAGGGCGGGCTGCACACAGAGGCTGAATCCCTGCACAGAGGCCACACCCCTGCAGGGCGGGCTGCACACCTGCACACAGAGGCTGAATCCCTGCACTGAGGCCGCACCCCTGCAGGGCGGGCTGCACACCTGCACACAGAGGCTGAATCCCTGCACCGAGGCCGCACCCCTGCAGGGCGGGCTGCACACCTGCACACAGAGGCCTCACCCCTGCACAGAGGCCACACCCCTGCAGAGGCCGCACCCCTGCACTGAGGCCACGCTCCTGCACAGAGGCTGAATCCCTGTATGGAAGCCACACCCCTGCATGGAAGCCAAATCCCTGCACGGAAGCAACACCCCTGCAGAGGCCGAATCCCTGCATGGAGGCTGCACCTCTGCACGGAGGCCACATTCTGGCACAGAGGTCGAATCCTTTTATGGAGGCCTCACTCCAGCACTGAGGCCACACCCCTGCACGGAGGCCACACTCCTGCACAGAGGCTGAATCCCTGTGTGGAGGCCTCACCCCTGCACTGAGGCCACACCCCTGCACAGGGACCACACCCCTGCACAGAGGCCAAATCCCTGCATGGAAGCCGCACCCCTGCATGGAGTCTGGGCTCCTTGGCCATTGGTAAACCTTGCTTAGGTGACCCCTGCAAGCCACGTGAGGTGCCAGCCCTCAGCACAGCTCACTAATCTCTGTTCCTTCAGGCACTTCTTTCTCATGGTGCAGTGAGGAGAGACATGTCTGAAACCAGGATTAGAGTGGCAGGCAATCTGATTAGGGCGGCACCGCACAGGCTGGGGCAGAGGAACAGGGGGCACTCTGGACAAGGTGACCCTGGAGCGGAACCCTGCGGGATGCGTAGGGGTTTCCCAGGCCTGGGGAGGGACCCGTGCGAAGGCCTTAGGTGAGCCAGACCAGGCTGCAGCTGTGGGGTCTGCAGGAGTGATGCAGGAGGCTGTGGGGTGGGCTGAGGCAGAGACGGTGTCCACGGCCACGGGGTTTGCAGGCAAAGGCTACAGGAAGACCAGACAGAACAGGCTGCGCACGTGGGGCTGGAGCCCAGAGGCCGAGGTGTGGTCCCCAGGCACACCCACTCGCCTGCCTCCTCCAGGCCAGGAGCTCCCTCTGCCTTGGGAGGGATGTGTGCACAGGCCTCCAGCGAGCAGCGTAGCAGGAAGCTCACTGGGGGCCCAGCTCCAGCACCCCCAGCCCTTCCTGCTCCGACACCCTGGGGAGGGGCCTGGCCACCGCCTTCTGACAGGGCCTTGGGAATCCTGATGCCTGGCCAAGTTGGAGAACTAAAGAGTTGTTTTTTTGTTTTTGTTTTTGTTTTAGGACAGAGTTTTATGCAATGGCTCAGTCTTGGCTCACTGCAACCTCTGCCTCCCAGGCTCAAGCGATTCTCCCGCCTCAGCCTCCTGAAAAGCTGTGGTTACAGGCGTGCGCCACCACACCCGGCTAATTTGTATTTTTAGTAGAGATGGGGTTTCTCCATGTTGGCCAGGCTGGTCTCAAACTCCTGATCTCAGGTGATCCGCCTGCTTTGGCCTCCCGAAGTGCTGGGATTACAGGCGTGAGCCACTGTGCCCGGACCTAAAGAGATTTCTAAAAACGTGGAAGAGGATAAATGCAGACAGTGAACAGGGAGTGAGGGTGGGCCCAGGCGTTTCACCCACCAGGTGGGTGGCGTCTTTACCTCCGGGCTGGGAGCGGTCTGAAGCATAGGAGACCCACAGCCACTGAGTGTGAGAGTGGAGCCTGCAGGTGCAGGAGGGAGCTGGGTGGAGCTGGGGATGGAGCTGGGGGGCCAAGCTGAGGTACAACCAAAGGGCGTGGTCACCAAGCAGGGAGAGGGCCGTCAGGGCTCTGTGTCCCTTGAAACAGGTCTTAGGTAGCAAACTGCCAGTGGGGAAAACTGGGAAGCCACATCCCACTGCCACCACACGGCCGCCTCCAGTGACTCCAAAAGGCCTGCACACCACCTTTTACGTTAACAGAAATGTCTGGCTTCTTCCCCTAGCCATTTTTTTTTTTTTGAGACAGAATCTCACTCTGTTTCCCAGGCTGGAGTGATTCTCCTACCTCAGCCTCCAGAGTAGCTGGGATTACCAGGCACATATTACCACCCCCAGAAGAGTTTTGTATTTTTAATAGAGATGGGGTTTCACTATGTTGACCAGGCTGGTCTCAAACTCCTGACATCCAGTGATCCACCCACTTCAGCCTCCCAAAGTGTTGGGATTACAGGCGTGAGCCATCGTGCGCCTGGCCGCCTGCCTTCTTTCTGGATCTTCTGGAGTGATCTTTTTATTTCTGCCCAAAAGACTCAGTCTCTGTCACGTCAGGAGATGGTTCCCGCACGCCTTCCTTCACTCAGCACTGTCTCGGCGCACACCTCCTGCTCTTGTCTTCCCACCGCTTGCCCGTCTCCCCTCTCCTACCTCGCTCCTGGCCCTCGCTCCTGGCCCCCCCGCCCTGCCGACACGTCTGCTCTCAGCACTGATCACCTCCTCGGGCACCACGAAACCCACCCATCTGCTTAAGGCTGTCGTCATGAGTTTCGTTCCCATCTCCCTGAAAGATCAGCTCCCGGAGCTCAGCAGTACTGTCTGTTTCGTGGTTTTGTTCCTCTCAGTAAAACACTTCCCTTCATCATTACATCCGACTGGACTTAACATTGAGATAACTTTATGCCCCGGACGTGCAATGAGACGCTCCTGATGGTAGAATTTGGGTTTAAAATTCATGTCTAATCCATCTGATTATGATCAAGCTTTATCTTGTAAAACCCGTGGGTGGCGCTGGTCAAGAGACAGAAGTGTGGAAGAAGAAGACAAGGGCAAGTAATTGCTATTCTTTATTTTGCCACTCAGAATAAAACACCAAAAGAAAATCTTAAGTGGTAACAACACAGCATCAGGGGAAAGAGAACAAGAAGAGCTGACTCTGCATAATTTGGGCTAAGATGATCATCCATCATCTTAAGGTGTGACTTGGGATTACACCGCACAGACACGCCCAGGAGGCTCTCAGGAACGCTCGGTGTCGGTGTCATCCAGGGAGGCTGCGGCGGGGGCATCCAGGAGGCCGTCGAGGGCCCCGGCCTCTGCAAAGGAAAGAGCCGCACTTGAGCAGCCCGTTCTGAACGCGCACACGAGAGAATGACGGCCCTGATGCGTACTGCGGGCAGATTCGTGCGGGATGAAGCCCAGAGCTGGGCACAGCAGTCTGCACTTCTCACTCTGTAATGACTTAACTCCCACACCTAGTAAGCAACTAAACCTGTCAGACGTTTACAGTCAGGCTTTAAAGAGGTATAATTCCTATCTGAATAACGAAAGTTGGTGTCTCGTAAGGAAATAATTTCCGTGTTACAAAGTTAAAAACAAACAAAAATCTGGCAGAGTCTATCTGCCGCTTGTAGGAAAAGTCATCCCAGCTTTCTCCCAGAGGCGCCAACAGAGGGAACTTGGCGACCCAGTTTTGGAATTTCTAAGGAACACCGACTTTTCTAAGACCTTCTCTGTCAGTCTCCCTGCCCTGCCCTCCCCTCACGCCTCTCCCCTCTCCCCGGCTCTCCCCCATCACCACCCATAGAGCCCCATAACACTGCAAATGAAAAGCATCCTGATCCAAAACAAACCCAGGAATCAGCCTTGATTTTCCAAACGGGACAAAGCTGTATTGTTCAGCTGAAGGTTTCCACTGCAGAGAAAAAGCAGTCCACCACCCCTCCTTCCCACCCCGCCTCCCCACCCCGCCTCCCCCTCCCCGACAGCGCTCAGAGCTCCAGGAGAAGGTCTCTGCTGGAGAGAAAAAGCAAAGCAGTCCATCCCTCCTCCCCACCCACCCCGCCTCCCTGTTAACCCTCAGAGCACCGGCCGCTTTCCTGGCTCCCTCCACTGCTGCAGTGTGATATCTGATTAAGGCCAGATGCCCATCATGGAATGAACGCCAAGCACAGTGTGTATGAGGCCTCCTCATCCCCAGGGTTTGCCGAAGACACTGGAAGCCAGGATCAGAGCCTTTCCAGTCAGATTTCAAGGCAGCCTGCTGGCAGGAGGGCTGCCTAGAGAAACACTGCAGTCGCAGATATGGGCTCCCAGTAATTTCCTGTGCTTACAA